GTATTCATGTGACTACCCTAGTCGTAGTCGTGTGACTATGTAGTTGTAGTCGTGCGACTACATAGGTGTAGTCGTGCAACTACCTGCGGGTGTTCCATTTATGTACCCTCCTAGTCACCGGGGTAGTCGTCTTTTTTACCAGGGATAGCACTTGCTTAAAGTAGAGTCTAAAGTAAAATGATGAAATCATGTGAGAACGATGACTTTTGCTCCAGTTTTTGTGCGCGTCAGAAGAAATTTATTTTCTGTGCGCCTCGAAAGTAATTTACATATCCACAGGAATCATTTCTGTATTCTACAAATAAATTCTGTGAAATGATAACCATGCGATTCCCGGGCTTTCATGGGCTTCACCTCATCACAATGGCCATGGGATTCACCTCATTAGGCCATGGGATTCACCTCATTACCATGGCCATGGGTTTCACCTCATTACCATGGCCATGGAAATCACCTGATTTCCGTCCAATTTTCCCATGACCACGGAAATCAAGACGTTTCCATGAAAAAAGGCATGGGATTTTTTTGGCAGGGTGTAGGGAAGAACTGAAGGTAGACGACTCCTGAAAAATATCTCCTTAATTGAAGAGCTTAATATTGCTGTGACGCTAAGTACTTACATCAAGTGCATCTTACGAGCATGCACGAGGTTTTTTCGACTATAATTTCAGGATACCCAGCGTTCGCGAACTGTTTTGCTGTGTTGCAGGTTATATTTATGTTTTTTCTTTACTTATCTCACGGTCTTTGTCACAGCACATTGTCTTTGGGCACGGTGTTCGATGTTGAAACAATCCTTTCTTTGTACATGCCTACTTATAGCTATAGTGCCTGCCTAAAGCTCTAAACGAACGCTCATATTCCTAGTAGCCGAAATAATACCTATAGTAGATACCTAATTATGAAGTGGATTCCGATATCAATCATGTAAAGTATTAAATACTTCTATCTTTATACGTTATCTCATACAGGATGTCCCAAAAATCCGGTAGGTGCACCCGCTCTCAAATTTTACCCACTTCATATTATGAAATGAGACTTTGGGCATGTATTCATGGATCAAATGTAGGCTACTTTTGGGGCCCCCGAAATTTTCGATAGTCTTCCACAGGAGAGGCTGCGGACCCTAACTTTTTTTTTTTTTTCAAATGGCAGCCTCCATCCCTCTTGTAATGCTTCAATCGAAAGATGTTCGAAAAAGAAAATATTTTGCGCAAACTTTAGGTAGCCATTTGGATTTTTGACAAAAGGGCGGCCGATCAAAGTTCGATAAATTCATATCTCCCAAGATTCTGTTGAAACTTGCTACTCGGGTGTTATTTGGTAAGAAAAAACGGAGAAAAGAGCATTGCTTTTTCGTAAGAACTCATTTTTGAAAATGCGGGCCATAAAAATGGCCGTTAACGAGAAAACTACAAGTAGAGGTGTCGTCGGATAAGTTGACATTTGATTACCTACTTTCGATTTATAGGCGTTTTCGTGTCACTACTATCCACCTAAAAACATCCAAATCTCTCAGAAGCGGGAACACAAGCTTGAATAGGTTTTTTTAATACTTTCAAACCTTGTAACACTTTAATTTTTAGCCTCAAAGAAATCACAACCACATAAAAGTCGCGGATCATAACTGATGAGTAGGTTTTTTACAATACGAATGCGACGGATGTTTTTAAGGTGTATAATGGCGAACGACACTTTGTGCGGAGGCGTAAATTCGTTTCCTGTGACTGTAAATCGAAAGTAAACAAATGTCAACTTATCTGACAACACCTCTATCTGAATTGTTTACCCATGGACTCGCATGAAAGCTGGTACCTACTAGGGGGTTACTGGGAACGAGAAACTTACCTAAATCTGGCGTTATAGTTTTTCAAAATAGCGGCCACTGACGAAAAATAAGTGTACGTTTGTGCCATTTATTAGTGGTTTTCTTTGAAACTAATGCCGAATTCGGCTTTCTCGTGCCAAAAAAACCCCAGATAATACCTATGTTTCCCCGAATTCGTGGGAGATTTGTATTCTGTCAAGCTTTGAACTTTGAACACCCATCATTTTGTCAAGATAATTAGGCACCTGCGGTTTGCGCATAAATAATGTTATATTTCTATCATCTCTTGATTAAAGTAGGTATGATAGGTAAAGGGGGATTTCCATTGGAAAAAACAGAGTTAGGGCATGTGAAGTACGCCGTAAAGTTTCAGGGGGCCCCAAAAGTAGCTTACATTGGTCCATGATCACAAGCCCTAAGTTTCGTTTCAAAATATAAATTCAGTAAATTAACTTCAAAAGGGGTGGACTGGAATTTTAGGACACCTTCTGCATATGTGTGTTTGATACTTGCACATAGTTCCAGTGTTCGCTACTAGATTTAGCTGTCATTGTTTTTTACAGAAATCATAAGTTAATGATTTTTTTACCCTACGTAAAAGAAAATATAAGCAGCGTGCCCTGCAAAAAATCGCCCCTGGGGATTCCACCCAGGCGATTTTGAGCAGGGGAATAATTCTCCTGGGAAGTGACTCCTCTGAGAAGTGGCTTCCCTGGGAAGTTGCTCCCCTGGGAAGTGGCTCCCATTGGACGTGGCTCGGCCCGTGGGAAGCTCCCTATTCCATGCCCAAAATGTCGTCTCTAGGTACAAGCAGAGCCATAGAAGAAAAATATTAAGGATTATCTAAGGATTATTAGGATTATCACCAAAAATTAATTTGTACTATTGCCGAGGAATTTGTTAGACAAGGAAGGAATTCTCAGCCACCGTGCAAATCTCCGCACCACGATCATTCCCAAGCAGTCTCTCATCTTAGTACTAACAACGTCCGACGTTACTTAACCCCATGATCGTCCAAGTGCCGCTGCCGCGGAGCTCCGGAGGCTCGCGCATCGAGGGTAATTTAGCAGCCAGAAGCGTCCCCAGCGCCGCGCCGATTCCATAATGGAAAGCAACGATATTCTTGGAAATTTCCACATAACGCAGTTTCAAAGAAACAAAAATAGTAAAAAAGTAGATCGATTTTTGGAAATAAGGAAGTGAGTAGCACATGAATCCAATTAAAAATATATGTAAAGTTTGTTTAAGCACAGATTTTATTTTATTTATTTTCTATTATTCATTAAATTATTATTCATTTGTATATTATGATCAAACCTTGTATTACTTTACTTTACGTCATTATTATGCACTGCAGCGCGACTTGGCAACGCGTGCGAGCAGCAACCGTAACCGCCGCCCCAGCCAGTGCACCCCTTCCCTCCGCGCTCGACCGGCAAAGGCTAGTACCGCGCCAATCCGCTAGATGGCGCTCGGGTCTTGTAAGTCATCCCGTCCTTTTTGATCCCATCTTTTCAGAAAAAGGCTCGGGAAAGATTTATTTTTATTTTTGTATCCTAAGGAGGATACCATACAGTTACTTGTAGTTTACTTAGATTTTCATTTTGCTTCGATAAGAAGTTCATTTTTTAGTTTGTTGTTTGGTCTCGCGAATATCGAGCCGAAACAGCTCCAAGCAGGGTCCCCGCCCGTGTGGCCGGCCCTCCTTCGCATCTCTTTCGCCGTCGTACTGGCATCCATTGAAGTTAAGATTAACCTACTATAGTCCAGTAGTGTCTCTTACAGGTTTCCATCTATCTTTTTATACTTCGATTGTTAGGTTATCCTACTGGTAGCCCAGTAGTAATAGAGACCCGCGTCTTAGCAGTAAGTTTCTTTCAGCTCTTCAAGATACCTACGCAAGAAGATCGCTCTTCTTCAAGCACTTCGTAATAAAAAGTAAATCATATCGTAAAGCTCTTAAAGCTAGTTTTTTCTTTTTTTCATCAGTGTTTTTCTCGGCAATTTGTATTTTTCAGTCTATCTCCTTTTCAACAACGTAAAGTACTTAACAATTTCTCTGTATTCATCTAAATTAGTTTTAAACCTTTTTTCGTGAGTTTTTTTTGGTCGTTTGATATTTAAAATTCTCGCGTTCTTTTTTTCCTTAAAACCCAGATTCGCTCTGAAGCCGGCTCCGCGCAGCCTGATATTCCAAATCTCTTCGTCAAAGCTTTCGATTAGGGAATCCAGACTTGTTCTGTACGCGGCCTGGTAGTCTTTGTACGCGCCTCTAGCGCGTAATTTCTGCTGCCGCGCCGCGCCGTCTAGCGCACAGCTAATCGCGCCGCGACGCCGGCCGCGGCCAGCTTCGGCGGCGCTCCCCTAGAGAGCGCTCGCGTCGCCAAGGTGATTTATGTTTTATTAAGGTCCTTTTATTTTGTTTACGAAAGGAAAATAATAATTTGTCTGGTGCCCAGAGTTGTAAATAAATGTAAATAAAGCAAAGAAGGTTTCAAGGTTAAAGGTGTTTAAGTTCTTTTCTCAGTATTACTTTTTGTTCTTCAACGTCCTATGCCGGGCGCGGGATACCGATTTACCCACGTCCTAGGTGCACGCCGATACAAGCGCAATCTCATCGCCATTCACCAAGCAGCTATCATCGGCTCCACAGCTACAAGGTCCGTCCGGAATTTCAGAGCTCGTAAGGTAAGGATTCCCCGGTACGCCCGGTGTATTAGATTTCAAGCCCCGGTTAGCCCGGAGAAGTTTAGATAGGGACCCCGGTTCGCCCGGAGAGTAGTTTAGGGACCCCGGCTAGCCCGGTGAACTGCAGAATAGGGACCCCGGCTCGAGCCCGGTGTTAGTTAGGAACCCCAGCTCAAGGGAGCTGAAGCCAGGCCAGCGCGCTCTTGGTAGCCTTTCACATCTTTAAATTAAATTAGGGATTAAGGCCCCGACAGTCTTTTATAAATTAAAAACATACAGTCCACTTTTCCATGGAAAAGTGTTATGAATACGGAATAGATCTCCATCTGCTGTTTGTCGATTTTAAAGAAGCTTTCGACAGCGTTAACAGGAAGGAACTGGGAAAAGCCCTGAAGGAATTACAAGTACCAGAAAAACTCATTCGACTGGTAATAATGACTATGAGTGATACAAAGGCGAAGGTGAAGATTGGGAACAACAAGAATGAAGTATTCGATTTTAATAAAGGTGTAAAACAGGGAGATGGACTATCAGGCACCCTTTTCCTAGCGGCATTGCATCTAGCTGTAAAACATATCAATCAAAGGGGAACAATATTCAACAAGTCCAGCCAGATATGCACATATGCAGACGATATAGCGCTAATAGCACGCACGAAAGAGAGATTAATTGAAATATACAAAGAATTAGAGAAGAGAGGCAAAAACTTGGGCCTGATAGTGAATGTCAGCAAGACCAAGTACATGGTATTGTCAAAATCAGAAGTGAGAAGGAAACCATGCAGTCTGTTCATAGACCAGAAGGAATTTGAAGGCGTCGAAAAATTCAAGTATCTCGGCAATATGTTGGATAGCAAAGCAAAAACAACGACATGAATTAAAGACAGGATACAGGCTGGTTCGCGAGATATCGACCCCCAAAGATGGGGTGAATTTTAGCGATAAAAAAACGCCCGTTTTAGCGATTCTCATTTTCTCGACTTCCCTCTCTTTGACTCTCTGTAGCGAGACTCTGTATCAATCGATCATACTTTGAAAAAATGTTTCTAGACCAATTTTTTATGTAGATTCTGAATATGTCATCAAAATTGAGCTAAAAATTATTTAAATGGCCGTAATTTAGAGTTTTTTTTTAAAATTTACGATTTTTTCGCCATTCAATGTTCAATCTGAATTATCTAAAAAACAGTCTCTCCGATTTTCGATTTTTTTATACTTCAAGCTTAGGATATATACTTTTGGTTGATATACTTTTTTCAATTGCCATCGGACGGTTAAGGGCCTAAAAAAATTCAAATAGGCCAAAAAAGGTAAAAAATTGGTATGAAAAGTCGATTTTTTACATGTTAATCCAAATATCTCGATAATATAAACTCTTCAACTATCGATATTTTTTCCCACTTTACCCTCTAACATGTGTAAAATCAGACTATCAACGCTTTCCATACATGCACCGATCGATTAACGGCTTGATGGAAACCGGAAACCGACCGAAAATCCTCGAAATTGACGCAAAAAGACGATTTTTCACACCGTAACCGATGCATTCCATGGAGAGTAATTGCAATATCCAATTTTCTCTCTCTATTTCAACCTTAAGGTGTGTACTTTCGAGTAATAAACCCTTACTAACGTGCATCGATGGGGCACGGATCCAAACGGAAATGAAAACCGGCCGGAAATGCTCAAAAATGACGGGAAAAGGCGATTTATTGCATAGTCAGGGGAGCATGTGTTCGAAAATTACGTCCCGTTTGCACGTTTGTGATGCAAGTTTACTCTCTTCAGTTTGGTCCCTAGAATGAGAATTTCTTTGGTGGACTCTCCGATTCTGATGCCAAGGCTCCAAAAACAAGATGGCGGCCAAAATTGAGGCAGAAATTAAAATTTTGGTAAAACGGCACAAAACGTCAAGAGAGGTGTCGATTCTCATGTTTTTTGGATCGTAGATTCCAGAAAAATTGTCATACAGACCCCTCGACCCACGGAAATGCCCAAAATCCAAGATGGCGGCCGATTTTGGCTCTTTAGTGGCTAAAACGTCAAATGCGGAGCAAAGAGAGGAGTAAACACTCTAGATATCTGTTTTCGAGGTCACAGATTCCAAAAAAAGGGGGGGGGGGACATTTCATGCCAAATTGTACTGATTTGGACCATCATGCAGAGGCCGAACTTGGCAGTCATTTTGATTAGTTTTCCGGAAAACTGAGGGGTGATCGGAGAGAATAAACGCAATTTTCAGATTTAGTGACTCAAAACACATCGTAATAGTTTTATTGCGTATTTGAAAACAAATGTACCTATATTCTGCAGGGGTACCGGTCCTAAAAAAAAACCAGTAATGCTAATTATAGAAACTGACCCGGAAAATGATTTCGATTAGAGTGTTCCTGAACACTCTAATCGAAATCATTTTCCGGGTCAGTTTCTATAATTAGCATTATTGGTTTTTTTTTTTAGGACCGGTACCATTTGTTTTCAAATACGCAATAAAACTATTACGATGTGTTTTGAGCCACTAAATCTGAAAATTGCGTTTATTCTCTCTGATCACCCCTCAGTTTGCTATTGCCGGGGAGTACCTGATACTCCCAATTTCGATAATAATTAATATATTAAACATACATACAAAGCCGCTTTTACAGCACTCTCTGGCGCTCTGCGACACCTAGCCTTAAAAGTTCCCAATCGCTCCTAAGACCTTTCAGGGAGTTAACACATACCCTCATTTTTTCTAAAAAACCCTATGTCGCCACCCTTTCACTGGGCATCCCCTTGTCTCCTCCCAGGAGGAACCCTATCAAGCATCTTTTACTGAAGTCCTTCGTCCGTCATTCTACTGACATGGCCATACAAGTCAAGCTATCTGATCATGCTGTCGAATACGATGTCATTTTCGACTCCCATAATCTGACGCACTCTTTCATTGTAAACCCGATCGCTTCTAAAAATTCCTGCAGCGACCTCTTCCAGAAATCCATTTCCGTTGCTCTTAGCATCCCCTGTGTCCGTTCCTTCAGCTGCCAAACTTCACTGTCATATGTAAGAATTCTTTTGTCTTCAACGCTGTAAATTTTCCTCTTGTTCTCTTTGGAAATCCGCGGATCCCGGAGGATTCCATTGAATATAGCTGTAGCCTTCCTTGCTAGGATGTTTCTTTCCTTGATATCTTCATCCGTTCTTCCATCCTGGGTCAACGGAACCCCCAAGGACTTATAGTGCGCTTTTGATCTGCTGCCCATCCTCCAACGCAATGCTTTGCTGATCACCAATAGTTTTATTGCGTAATTGAGAACAAATTTACCTATATTGAGGGGCTGAATCCGGAAACCTCCGTTCTTTTCCATCACCCTACAATTCTCTGGAAAAGCCGATTCCGCCCGAAAAAATGGTCATTATCCTGGTTAGTTTTCCAGAAAACTGAGGGGTGATCGGAGAGAATAAACGCAATTTTCAGATTTATAGTGCGGGCTCAAAACACATCGTAATAGTTTTATTGCGTATTTGAGAACAAATGTACCCATATTCTGCAGGGGTACCGGTCCTAAAAAAAACCAGTAATGCTAATTATAGAAACTGACCCGGAAAATGATTTCGATTAGAGTGTTCCTGAACACTCTAATCAAAATGACTGCCGAGTTCGGCCTTTGCATGGTCCAAATCAGCACCATTTGGCATGAAATGTTTTTTTCTCCTATTTTTTTGGAATCTGTGACCTCGAAAACAGATATTTAGAGTGTTTACTCCTCTCTTTGCTCCGCATTTGACGTTTTAGCCACTAAAGAGCCAAAATCGGCCGCCATCTTGGATTTTGGGCATTTCCGTGGGTCGAGCGGTGCATAACGTTTGCGCACAATTTTTTTACCGATAACGTTTGCGCACTTTTTTCACGAATATCATTCGCGCACAATTTTTACCGATAACGTTTGCAAACACTGCACTATTTGGCAACGCTGCAATGATGCTACGCGTGTCACCCGAAAACCGGAGTTTGTTTTGATCCGGGCGGTCATAGTTAATAGTTAATAGTTAAATACCCCGACAAAAATGATTCAGACGAAGAAAATAACCCGGAGGCTGTAAATGACTCTTTCAATGCATGCGAGCCTGATGAATCCATTTCTGAAAATGGTGCTGATGAAACTTGCTCTTCAAATGCATCCTGCCCTAAAAACAGCCCTAAAACCCGTCCTTGCACTGAAGATGATTCCGGTGAAGACAGTGACAGCATTTTTAGCTGAAGTAACAGCGAAAAATCTGTGAGTAACCATATACCTTATTTTCTTAACTTTCTTCATTTTCTATTTTCTTCTTATTACTTATTTATTCATTTACTTATCGATTGCTTATTGGAATTTATTTAAACAAAAATTTCCCTCGTCCGTTTATAAACTATCCGTCCGTTGAAATGTCTTATCACGAAGCGATACTACTGACGCATCATTGAAGCGTTGCCAAATAGTGCAGTAAGCGCAAACGTTATCGATAAAAAGTGTGCGCAAATGATATACGCGAAAAGCGTGCGCAAACGTCATCGGTAAGAAAAGTGTGCGCACACGTTATGCAGCCGGGTCGAAGGGTCTGTATGACAATTTTTCTGGCTTCTACGATCCAAAAAACATGAGAATCGACACCTCTCTTGATGTTTTGTGCCGTTTTACCAAAATTTTAATTTCAGCCTCAATTTTGGCCGCCATCTTGTTTTTGGGAGCCTTGGCATCAGAATCGGAGGGTCCACCAAAGATTTTCTCATTCTAGGGACCAAACTGAAGAGAGTAAACTTGCATCACAAACGTGCAAACGGGACGTAATTTTCGAACACATGCTCCCCTGACTATGCAATAAATCGCCTTTTCCCGTCATTTTTGAGCATTTCCGGCCGGTTTTCATTTCCGTTTGGATCCGTGCCCCATCGATGCACGTTAGTAAGGGTTTATTACTCGAAAGTACACACCTTAAGGTTGAAATAGAGAGAGAAAATTGGATATTGCAATTACTCTCCATGGAATGCATCGGTTACGGTGTGAAAAATCGTCTTTTTGCGTCAATTTCGAGGATTTTCGGTCGGTTTCCGGTTTCCATCAAGCCGTTAATCGATCGGTGCATGTATGGAAAGCGTTGATAGTCTGATTTTACACATGTTAGAGGGTAAAGTGGGAAAAAATATCGATAGTTGAAGAGTTTATATTATCGAGATATTTGGATTAACATGTAAAAAATCGACTTTTCATACCAATTTTTTACCTTTTTTGGCCTATTTGAATTTTTTTAGGCCCTTAACCGTCCGATGGCAATTGAAAAAAGTATATCAACCAAAAGTATATATCCTAAGCTTGAAGTATAAAAAAATCGAAAATCGGAGAGACTGTTTTTTAGATAATTCAGATTGAACATTGAATGGCGAAAAAATCGTAAATTTTAAAAAAAACTCTAAATTACGGCCATTTAAATAATTTTTAGCTCAATTTTGATGACATATTCAGAATCTACATAAAAAATTGGTCTAGAAACATTTTTTCAAAGTATGATCGATTGATACAGAGTCTCGCTACAGAGAGTCAAAGAGAGGGAAGTCGAGAAAATGAGAATCGCTAAAACGGGCGTTTTTTAATATCGCTAAAATTCACCCCATCTTTGGGGGTCGATATCTCGCGAACGGGGCGTCGGATGGGAAAACCCTGCAAATTAGTTTCTTAGAATGATGTAAAGACCCCGTATACCAATTTTCAGCCAAATCGGAGGGAGTCGGGTTCCGACCTTGGTTGCGTTGACGTGGAATGACCCTCATTAAAACGTAGAAAAATGAATGAATGAAATAAAATAAAATAAAATGAAATATATTAAATTGAATGAAAAATAAAAAATAAAATAGATTA